ACCACTGGTCCTTTCCCCTCGTCTGATGCCAGGGAGGCAACGGACGAGGTTTTTTGAATCTCCCCTCGTCCTTCGTCGTGCTGAAAATCTTAGCACGGGGAAGGGAGAGTGGAGTGTATGAATCGTACCTTCCCGTGTAGGGAAAGTGTCTTTCCTTCTTCGGCTCGGCAGCAGAGGACGGTTCTGAGGCCTTAGCCTTCCCTTTCCTCTGCGCCGAGACTTCGGGCTGCTGCCCTTTCGGCTTCTCAATTCTCGGACGAGACTGAGACCTGGATCTGTTCCACTCCTCGGCTCGGATGAACCTATCCGATGCTTCCAAGGCTTCCTCCAGGGTCTGCGGGGGATGCATGACCATGAAGTCCAGGAACTTTCCAGCTTGGAGGCCGTTCCGTAGCGCGAACACGGCCAGGCCTTGATCCAGGCTTGTGATTCCGGATGACTCGTTGCTGAAGCGAGTCAGATAGTCGCGGAGGCTCTCGTCCTCCGCCTGCTGCAGACTCATTAGCTCTGCAGTGGTCTTCTCTCGGCGGTTGGCCGTAGAGAATTTGCTCTTGAACTTGTTGGAGAGGTCGTTCCAACCGGTTATGGAGCCTTCCTTGAGCCCTTTGGTGATCCAGGATTGGGCAACACCTTTGAGGGTCGTAGGAAAGTATTTACACCAGGTAGCCTCAGACCTCGGGTTCAGATACATGTGCCCCTCGTAAGAGGCAATGTGATCCTTAGGATCTGAGGTACCATCGTAAGTAATATGTGCCGGGATTTTGACCGTTGGCACATGCTTTTCCAGAATCCACTTCTGGAAGGGCGAGTTCGATGGAACCATGACCGCCTTCCCCTTGTACCCAGCCTCAGGGACCTCGCTCCCTCCTCTCTCAGAGGTGGAAGTGGTTTTCGTCCCCGGCTGAGACAAGGTTGGGTGGGGTCCGGTATCCTCTGGGAAGGTGAGGCGGCTATGCACACTCACCTCCCTCGAACCCAAGCGTTCGTGAACGCTTTGGCGGGCGAATTCCGGGTCCTTGGAGGGCCCCATGGAATTCTGAGCTTCGGAGTGGTCAGAGGGTTGAGGGTTCCTCCTCCTCTCCTTACTGGAGTTTCGGGTGTCCCCTCGCCACCTCTGGCCGAGCTCTCTATGTGGTGGAACTTGTCCACCATCATCCTGACCGATCCTCCTTTTCAGGTTTCTCGGCTGGTGATCATCAGGCATCTGGATTGGAGCCCCTTGAGCTTTAAGGAACTCCATGCAGATGGCCACTGCTCTGGCCACTTCCTCGGTGGAGGGTCCGGAGGGAGGAGTCTCCCGCGGATGTGACCTGGATTGCACGCTATGGCGCGGCGGGGAGTTCCTCGCACCTGAGCCACTCGGTCTCGGGGATGGCCCCGGCTGCCGAGTGTGGTGCGAGGTGTTCTCCTCCTGGAGGCTAGGACCTCTTGAGGCTTCCCTTTCCGGAGAAATGGGGGCCTCCGATTCGGAAGAGGCTTGCTCCGGGGAGGGATAAACCGGCTGGCGTTCCCTCACCGTAATCCGGCCTCCTCCCTTCTTAGCCTTCTTGGAACTCTTTCCACTCTTAGTCATGGCGACTGCCGGAGTGTTTGATGACTGACGCGAAATTTAGTAGCGTTCCCCACAGACGGCGCCAAATTGTTTCGGATGAAAACAATCGAATCTCGGAAGATCCTTTTATCTTGAGGGAACTTGGTCTCGGTCCGAACGACGCAGGAGCCGAGGGTTTCCTGCACAACAAATACACGTAAACTAGCCTCGGGGGGGACGCCGAGGAAGGCCCCTCCGATGCTTAAGTCAGTATATTAGAGAGAGAAAGCTGTGCAAGAGTTTAGTTGCTTGAGGCTTTATTGTCTTACCAAGAATTGACCAAATTGTTGGCTTTTATACCTTGGCTAATGAAGGAGGCGGATTGGGCCCGGAAGTCAGTTGGGCTGGGCCAAGCTGATTGGGCCGTTGACTGACCTTGACATGGCTTTGAGGATGTTGATTTTTGACTTTAGCACATTTGGAGAGTTGAACCTTAACCTTGGGCTTTTAATTGGATCATTCAGTGACCAGGCCCAATTGGACTAAATTGGACCCAAACATTGTTGATATAACTTACAGTATATATAGTGTACACTTTTTAAATAACATGATCTATTGGCCGAGTTGTTTAATTTCCATCACATAAATTGCATGGTCCTCTTCAATTCAATCAACAAAGTTTATAATACGAATACTTTGCATAATTTATGTTGAATATAACATTACCTTCATCTATACTCTAACTTTTATATATGAGTACCTTACTAATAAAGTGATTATGCAACTAATTATCATTAAAGAAAGAGAAAGAGTGATTCTCCATCTTGTTCAATGAACTGTTAATATGCAAATGGGTTTATTTTAAGGTTTAAGTGATTCATGAAGTATAATTTGATGGTGAAGACATCCATTCTAGAAGAATCTGTAACCAATGTAAGTTTGACATTTTCATTAAGGTATGTAATCAAATATTCTAAAGTAGACAATAATAATAATTATATGAAAAAACAAGATACCTAATATTTTCTGAAATTTTAAGGCACCAATTAATATTCAATGTACTTTGTAAAAGATTATTCTAGTTATAAATTATATATATGAGGTCTTAGGAATATGATTTTGATAGATGACTTTGCCTTGGATTTTAATACAATAACCTTGTCACTTTCCAGTGAACTTTTCCACTTTCAAGTAACACTTTAGTATTAGTATTCAATCAAGAATTTCCATTCATTAAATTAATCACAAGAATTTGTTCCATTTAATTTCAATCATGTACCTTGCAATGTCATCATAATTTTTCTTTTTTTTTTTTTCTTTTTTTTTTTTTTTATGTAGTAGCATTTGTTGCGAATAATCTGATTTTTAGAAACTTAATTTTTTTTCTCAAGGTTCGGGCCAGATAAATATCTCTAGTTAAGCTGAACAAATAATTCAAGTATTTGTTGGTTGAATTAGTAACATAACAAATATACACTTGACCAACTTGTAGTCAACCACCTAACATCCATCTCATTTATAATATTTGATAAATATATCATTGAGAACTGATGAGACAAAATTTACTTAATTATTAAACATTTCATACAATGTAAGTTTAGATATAAGTTTTAAACATCTGGACTTTTTAGATATAAGTTTTTGAATATTTTAAATGCTACCTCCGTTTATTTTAGTTGCAACAAAAGAATATTTTAAATCTTACAAATAATACCCCTTTTGTTGTAACTAAAAAGTTCGGAGGTAGTAAGGGTCTGTTCTCATTGACTAAACTCAGCTGAACTGAACTGAACTGAAATGAAATGAATATTTTATAAGAGAAGGAAATTAGGAGCTGAACTGAACTGAGCTGAGCTGAACTGAACTGAATTGAACTGAGCTGAGCTGAACTGAACTGAACTGAGCTGAGCTGAACTGAACTGAACTGAGCTGAACTGATCAAATTTCAACGTAAGAGAACAGACCCTAAATTCATAAAAATTTTATATAAGTAATTGGACATAAATATCAGTTTTTTAAATGAACACATGAACTCATAGTGAAATGAACGCAACCAATACTTGGACATGAAACCTGAATCCTACTCATTGATCCAACCCACCAGCAAAGATAGAAGATTTGGTCCACTGTTTAGTACTCATAAAAGGGATGAAGGGAAAGTAAAGATGAATACATTTATACATAAGATGGAAATGTAAGATGCACAATATAGTAATAGAGTACCAAACCAACTCCACTAGGATGTGGCAAATTGTAAAAGAAAGAAAGTTAGGATGTCCTACCTCAACACTTGTTCCGGTATAAATTGTAGTTTTATGTCAGCCAAATAAATAGCTCTATTTTGGACTAATTAGCCAGCACATGCAAACTAGATATCTAACTTTTTAAGTTATCCAATATCCATCCAGCTCAATCTTTGATTTTAATCTTAGGCTAATTTATTCTCATTTGGCTTTATTTGCTTCCTTTTTTTTTTTTTTATACAAGTATATAATTGATTAATAGAACAATATATGTCAAAAATTAATGGGTCCATTCTATTCTTAATTAATTTAGTATGCTAAGCTCACAAAAGAAAACAAATTACACACATACTCATAGAATTATACTATTTACTTAATTAGCCATTTAAATAATAGAAGTGCATAATTTATGATTAATACTGTCAAGCTTGGTAGAGCATCATACTTCCAACAGTAGTGGTGGCATGACACATATTATTCCATTGGAATAAAGCTAAGGTTGTTATTGTTAATTAAGTATTTAAGTGAGGTCAGTTTATGACCCCCATAAAAAACATGTACTAATATTTTTTTACCAAAATAAATAAATAAATTGGTAAAGATAGAGGTTATTCAATATAGAGTATATTATTAGCTTTGGAAGTTTCGAGCTAGAATTCATCTCGTCATCATTTTAAACTTCATGACTCCGTTTTTTTCTCTACTAGCTTATTTAATTTTTTTTTTCCCGGCCATTTAATTAAGGTATACTAGTATATTGTTCTTATATGAATTTTTCGTCTTTTAAATGATGTTAAATTGCATTATACATCAGAGTAAACTAAACTTAAGTAATCCTATTTATTCCTAAGAAGTTAATTAATTTGATAGGTTCAAATTACAGATCGTCAATAAAAACATGACTATTACTGAATCTGACATGATAATTTACTGTTACAATAAGATAATCTTCAGGCATTTCATTCAGGGGTTGATCAAGAAAAAATAATACTTGTATAAAGATTAAGATGATGTATACAAAATGACAAAATAGGGATTAACATCACTTTATATAAGGGTAAATTGCATTTCTTGTCATGTCTGATTTTCATGCATCTAATCGTCTTACTTTCATGACATAATAATAATGTACTACAACTACAACTTAATCAATCTCTTAACAGTAACAATAACAAGAAATTATGATATGATGAACATCATCCTACTCTTCACTTTTTTTTGTTCCCAAAATCATCAAATTCACTCACTTCATCATTACCATTGCCAATTTCTTGTCCCCTTTACCCTATCCCTCAATCTTTTTTTTTTCTTTCATAATATTTTCTTTTTAAAATCCTAAAATTGAAGAAAAATGAGAAGAACCAAGAAACGTTACACTAGTAAATAGTAATAATAATAGTACCATAATATTGTCTTAATTGAACTTCTTATCATTCTCCTTGAAAAAAAGGTCATCCTCATCCACCACAACATTGCCCTCCTTTTCTTGATCACCACCATTTGCATTGCTATGCATCATCTCAAGCTCCCTCTTCTCCTCCTCCTCTTGCTCCTCTAAACTCGAAACCCGGCCTCGTACACACTCATTCTTACCACCCTCCGCCCTCCTCTTAAGCTCCACAAGCAACTCTTTAACCGCCTTCATCCTTTCTCTCCGATGCCTAATCAACACCTCGCTCACATCAGCCGGGGTCATCCCCGCCTTCCCCACCACCGCCTCGAACTCGGCTATCGTCTCGGAATCTAGATCATTCTCCTCTAACCCCACATAATTCCTTAGCAAAATCTTCAAGGCTTCAAAAGAACAGTTGCTAAGGTGAATGTGCATATCCATCCTACCACACCTCAGCAATGCAGGATCAAGCTTCTCCACATGATTCGTTGTAAACACGAATATCCTCTCGCTACCGCAGCACGACCACAGCCCGTCCGTGAAGTTCAGCAGGCCCGATAGAGTCACCATACCGGGCCCACCAGGGCCGTCATCCGGGCCCGGGTAATTCCCGTGCCCGCCACTCTGGCGGTACTTGCTGTGCTTGTTGTCCTTCTGCCGGTCCGATAGGTCGATCGAGCAGTCGATATCCTCGATCACGATAATCGACTTCGACGTCGTCTTCATGAGCAGCTTCCTGAGCTCGGAGTTGGACGACACCTCCGTAATCTCGAGGTCGTAGATGTCGTAATTGAGATAATTCGCCATTGCAGCAATCATGCTCGACTTTCCCGTTCCGGGCGGGCCGTATAAGAGGTACCCGCGCTTCCAGGCCCGGCCCGTGGCCCGGTAGAAGGACTCTCCGCCCGCGAACTCCTTGAGATCGGCCATGATCTCGGCCTTCCTCCTTGGGTCGATCGCGAGCGTGTCGAACGTGGAGGGATGCTTGAATGGCACCGCCTCCCACGGGTGACCGGGCCGGGCCGAGTCCATGGACCCGCCCCGGGAATTGGTGTACAAATACCGGTCTTGATTCAACCTCCGAATCTCCCCGGCCCGGTCCATGATGTGATCCAAGTACGGGCCCAACACCATATCTTTGGCCGATTTCTTGACCCGAAGACTGAACCCGCGCTTCTCATCGGGCACGGGCCGCCAAGAGAAGGACTGAGAAGGTCGTTGTGTAACAATGTGCTCCCACTGAACTGCAACCCCTTTGAACGTATCAAATAGGGTGTCATTGTGTGCCAACCCGAACGTTACGGCCGAGGAGTTTAGGGACCGGGTTAAGCTTAGCCTACCCGCGGACGCAGCTGTTGCGGCCGCGGTAGAGCTAAGATAGAGCTGGACGGCGTTATACAGCTCGTTCGTGTTAACGCCGTCTATCTCAGTTATATCGAAGTAGCAATAACAAGAGAAGTAATTAGAAATTCTGTTGAAGAATTTGAGAAAAGTGTAACGAAATGAAGGTGGGAAAATTGTTGTTAGTAAACTTTGGCAAAAAGCTAGTACCCCCATTAATGAAGCTAATGAGGTCCAAAATTCTCTCATTTTTTTTTTCTAATACAAAAATTATGTGATGATAAAAATTTGTTGTTGCATAAAACCAGAATTTATAGATGAAATTAATTAAAATTGTAGGTCGAGTGAGTAGTAAGTAGAGTAGGGGTGAGTGAGAAGAAAATTAAAATGAAGATGAAATGAAAAGAGGGTTATATAAGTAGTCAAGTGAGAGGGACATTGGATATCATCATAAGGGACAGAAAGAGGAGGCATCTTTTTAGGCTGTTTTTATGTGAGATGTGTAGTAGGATAGTATTATGAGTAGGTTTATGATTTGTTTCCTTTCTTCTCTCTTTTTCCACCCTCTCTCTTTTTGTCTTGTTTTTTTTTCAGATTTATATATGGTTTTAAATCATAGGTTCCACATACATTACATTGTGTCGTGTCTGATTCGTGTTTATTTTCTCTCTGTTTCAAAATAACAGGTAATTAAATATGATACACTTTTTTTTCCTTGGTTCATTTCTAAATAATTAACACATATATTCTTCTCATTTTGAAATAATTGACACACTTTTCTTTCTAAGTTGTTTCAGAATAATTGACACACTTTTTCTTTCTTGAGTGTTTAAAAATAATTGACACACTTTTTCTTTCTTGATTGTTTAAAAATAATTGACACACTACTATCTATAAGTGACAAAAGACTATTGTTATTAGATTATATATACCACACACACCATGACTCATTAACTTTTACCACTAAAGACTTATATAAACTAAATCTAATCACTAGTATATATTATACATTAATTAAACATCTTTTCTTTCAAAAAATTTCAATTAACAGCTCATATTATTGTCACCATCTATTATTTTCTTAAACTAGCTGTGTGCCTAAAATCATAAGGGAATGTGTTAATTGTTTTGAAATGAATGGAGTGTTACAATGTTGTAGTTATTTGATTCTTTTTAGTTGACACATCTCTCAGTTGAATTAATACTACATACAATAAAATTAATTTAACTTTATTTTTATTTTACACTAGTTTAATTTAGGCTTTTTTTTTAGAGAGCCCAATGGGAGCAATGGCAGAAATGAAAATTGATCCCAAAATTTCTTGAAATCGGAAGAGAGTTTTAAGTTTTAACCATTTGAGACATCCCTCGCTCTAATTTTGATTTTTGAACTAGTTTAGTTTATGCATTATCGTGGAGGATTACATAAAAATAAAATTTAATTAACAACTTATTTTTTTATCATAATAAAAAATAGTATTAGTAACGGCAGATTTGATTTCTTGGTCGTTTGGGGGTCTTCCTAGCCTAGCCAATAGTATGGCAATTGACAGGCAATATTTGGCAGACATATAGAAGCTAAAAAGAACAACTTTGCTTGATAAGGGAATGAAAATCTATAAAACAATCAATAGTGCTAATAAATTTGGGATTCAGCGCCAAATTAAAAGAAAGGGAAGATATCATCATGATGATTCTTTTCCTCATTTTCATTATTACATCTATATGTAGATGTAGTTGGCCTCTATGCCTATATATGTTTTATTTTAACTTTATTATACTACAATTTCTTAACTCCAATATATACCAGTTAGACATCTTGTTGAATTGAAAGACAAAGATAAGTAAATGAAAAGATCCGACCTTATCACCTCAAGGTTAAGAGCTTAGTAATTCTCAATAATCAATGAGCTATATCAAATCTTGCTTGTGAAAAGTATAACCATTTTAATATCCACTGTATATTAAATCTAAATGAATTATTACATTAGTACTACTGTTTCTCATCCTTCATGCATGCATACAGTTGCAGTTTAATCATGCCATACCATACGTCCTGCATGCCTTAAGCTCATCCTCCGTGCATGTACAAAAGTTTTGTGTAAAAAGAGAACAAAATCTATATATGATCGAGTAAAGTTAATACTTTTGTTATTGCCTTTCCGATCCTTTCATAGTAATTTTCTAATTTTCTTATTTGTTTGTATTTTATATCCACATCCACCATAAACGTGCACTTATTAATACTAGAGGTCTAGAGTACTATATATATATATATATATATATATATATATATATATATATATATATATATATATATATATATATATATATATATATATATATATATATATATATATATATATATATATATATATATATTGAGTAATTAGTAAAAAAATTTTAATAGTACTTTGTAATTAGTACATTCTACCCGAACAAAATATATGAATCAGTCAACATCCAACATCCAACCATAGATAACTAGAGTACAACCCTTGATTTTGTATGTTCACCCCACTAGCAAAGTATTGTAGCCATTGTAGGCAATAAATAAAAATACTACCCCCACTTGAGTGACAATTGAGCTGGAAGCCAGTTTGAAGTATCCCCAAATAATAATGAACAAATTGAAGTACATTCAAATATTTATGCATCTTCAAAAAGTTATGTAGGTAAGATTTGGACTTAACACTTGAACATAAAAGTTGCAAGAAAATAACAAGAATTATTAGCTCAAACATGTGAAACACCTTGACCCATTTGGCCGTACCATATGTAGTGTCCGTATATAATCTATACTACTCGTACTATATATAAGCTGTCCAATATTCAGATGTTACTTTGTTACTAAACTTTTTTTAATTTCTTCAACAAATTTTATACAAAAAAAATGTAGTATATATTATTCTTGTTCAATTATTTAAAAGTGGATTTTATTTTGGTATGTACACTTGTTCATCCTAAACATTTATAATTAAGCTTTGATCAATATATAATTACAACCATAATCATTGTCAAATTAAAAATTAGCTTATGTTCTTTTTATATTTGGAACCTTGTACTATCTCCCTATATGTATAATTGTATATTGAAGTTTTATCATTGGCCTTGATCTACAAAATTAAACATGAAGTAGTGTTTGAAATACATTTGCAAACAAAGGCAGCAACTATACATTTATCATGCATTGATTTTGTTAAATAATTTACTTCCTTTTGTTTGGCATCCATTTAATTAGGAGTAATTTTTTTTTAATAAAGGTATATATCAACTATTGAAACAAATTAGTTCGTAATTTTTATCTAGTCTAATTTATTTTATTTTATTTTATTTGAAATAAAAGGAACTTACTAGACTGCTCTTTCTCAAAAGTGGCCCCTTAGAAAAATCCAAATTAATAATGCCCTACAAAGTATTTTGAGATTTTTGCTCCAAACAACCAACTTATAGTCCGATTCTCAGCTAGAATAAATCTAGTACTCCATATCTCTTTTTTATGATAAAGTCTTATACGAGTAATAAACAATTTAAAATACTTTTATCTAATAGATAATATCATGGACATTTTCTATTGAGGTTGACTATTACAATTTTTGGTCATAAATAAAATTCATTACTAGGGAGTATTTACTACAGTAGTAGTGTAGTACTCCGTAGTAGATTACAATAAATTAGTTAGGCCTGTTCTTTAGAGTTGTTCTGCTCTGCTTTAATCTGCTTTGCTCTAATTAAAAATAATACTAATAATAATAATAATAAAATTTGCACTGCTTCAATTTACTCTACTCTGCTGAAATGTGCTCTGCTCTATTCAAAAATTCAAAAGAACAGGGCCTTAGTGCTAGACAATATCATCCAAAATTACTTGAACCAAAAAAAAAAAAAAAAAAAAAAAAAAAAAAAGTTTACCTAAAAAAGGCTGCTAGCAAAATCATTTTCGATTATTTGGGTACATGATCCTCTGACAAATTTGGCTCATATATTAACTTGCATGTAAAAGGTAAAAAACAAAGGATTTGATGGTTGTTATTTACTACGGAGTACTCATGAAACTCTCTATTTTTAGTTTTTTACACTTGCAAGTAAAACTCCACGATAAAGTAATCTCTGCCTCTCTGTATTCCTAATGTCAGAAGTTCCCACTGTAAAAAATACAGTAAAATATAATTATAAACATAAAATGAATTTAATTACTACTGTAGTAAAATTTTTGTACAGTAAAATAAAATTATAAACATAAAATAAATTTAATTAAAATATTTGCAACATTAAAAAAAAAAAAAATCAGATAAAAATTGTTTCATCAGCTCACAAATACGGGTAAATTCAAGTTAATCTCTGAGATAAATGATGTGAATAAATCTCCTCTCACAATTTATTCATTTTCTTTTATTTTTTAAATGATAAAAGTTAAATAATAAAGTGGCACAGATTTCAACACATAAAGTTGTGAGAGGGGATAAATTAGATTGTTAATCTCTGAGATCAACTGGGGCTCCCTACACAATTACGGTGGTCACGTTACATGTAAATAAGAAAAAAGAACAACCAATGAAAAAGCCATCGTTGGCAACAAAATGCAACAGAATCTTCTGATTAAACCTCTAAACGGATCAAATCTGTTAATATTCTGATTTCTGACTCTACATGGATTCCAATTTTCATTCATCAGACTTGTTCTTTCTCAAAGAAGATGGTCTGATCTTATTTACTTTTTCAATCTTATTATTGGATTTTACCATTGAGGAGTTTAGTGAATTTGGATACTATATCAGCTAATGTTGGACAATATTTGTATTATTTGGACCTCGCAGTCATGAGGTTAAGTCCGAAAATTGATTTTAGCACACCGTTAATTGATTATAGCACACCCATATGCAAGAGAGCATACAAAATTGTGCCCTCACAAAAAAAAGTGTATCAAAATCAATTATGGTGTGTCAAAATTAGAGCTGTCAAAAGTTGATCCGACCCGAAATACCGACTTAAACCCAATTATTAACCGACCCATCTGAACCCGAAAAAATGGTGACCCAAACCCGACATGACCCAACCTGAAACCAACCCTAGACCCGAGTTGACTTGAGTTTGTAAGACCCGAACATGAACTGACCTAGAGATGACACACCCGAATGTAACCCGTAGTTATTGACCTAAACCAAACCCGACTTGAATCGAAATTGACCCAAACCCGTTTTAAAACCGTCAAAACCAGAATTTAACCAGACTTGTTACTAACCTGACCTGAATTCAACCCGACTCGTTCCTAACCCGACCCGAATTTAACCCAACCTGTTACAAACCCGACTCGAAATCAACTCGACTTGTTATTGACCTGACCCAAATTCAACCCGACTTGTTATTGACCTGACCCAAATTCAACCCGACTTGTTATTGACCCGACCCCAATTTTACCAGACCTATTACTAACCCAACCCAAAAATTCAACCCGATTTTTACTAACCCGACTCGAAATCAACACGATTTGTTATTGACCCGACCTAATTTCAACCCAAATTGTTCCTGACCTGATTTCAAATCACCTTAAATGCAATTTAGACCACCTTATTATTGTTGATCAAAGCATTTTGTTTGGGGAGACTAAGTCGGTCCAGGCTAGCAAAAGAAAGAAGCATCATCCTCAAATTTAAGATTTTAATATAATATATATTTGTTTGTATGGTCAAAGGAGATAACTATATCTTCTTAAATTATAGACTATATTTACCTAGTATATTGCCATATATATTATAGTCAAAGGAAATAATAAGCTTGATAAAAATGTTATCTATTTATAGTTAGTTGAACCTGAATATGACCCGACTTAGAAATGACCCGACCTGATAGTAACCTGCAAATTATTGGCTTGAACATAACCCGACTTGAAGAGAATGACCCGAC